GGGAAACGGTGCATTTCTATGGTCCTGATGGCCATCTATTTCTGGACTGGATGCGGTTTAACCTGGAGATACTTATCAGCAGAGGGAAGATATCGAACACTATTTGGTTGGATGAGATTCGACGTGAATAAGGACGGGAACCAAATGGCTGATTTTTTAAAAAAGTCAACTCCCTTTTCCCCAGTTTCCGGTTCTCCATTTCCTAGGCCAGGAGTTCAGGAAAAACTAACACCAAGAATCAAACGCTCAGATCCGAGACTCAAATATCCATCTCCCTGGGCAGAAGGCATTCCCAGAATTGATCACAGAAGCCATCACCTTGACCTCCAAATCTCTTCGTTGCTGGAGAGAGGAGGGGAAGGGAAAAACGACGTTAAAAAATTAACGAATTACTTCGCAGCCTTGCCCAGTCTCAAGTTCCGGGAGAGCCTGGGCAACCTGGAGGCCCGACCCCACTTAGTGGGCGGGGCCGAGTCCCTACTCGACGCCCTAGCAACCGCGAGTGCCTTTGTCGCGTACAGCAGCGCGCAGCCCTCCACTGAGTCGGCCCGCTGGGCCCCTCCTCTCCTCGAGACTGGCCAGTTCTTTCACGGGGTCTCTCACGGGTCGGCTCCACTGTGCGCTGATTTGCACTACGACTCTGAGCCCGGCTCGGAGTTCCTGCAGGGGAGCTGCTGGAGCGCCAGAGTAGGACAGAGGCACGGCGCGACAATGTTTCAGTTTATTTAAGAAAGAAAAGAAGTCAACAAAAAAATACCAGATTTTGGTCAGTTTTATTTTTAAGCACATCCAAAGCTCTGGGAAGAAAGGGCTGACGAGTAGGGAAATTAATTTTGAACAAACTCCAAATAAAGAAGGAAGAAAAGAGACTCTTCTAGGATCTAGCACGGAATCGACTGGAGACTGGAGATGTTGGACACTGTCGTCCCAGCCCTGCAGGATCTGGGCAGGCAGGTGCTGCCCACCCTGCCCTCACTGAGTCAGGAGGGTAAGTGGCACGTGGTGGGGGTGGGGGTCTGGGAACTGGACCTGCGGTGAAAGACCTTTCATCTAGTCCCTGTGAGTCTGACCCCTGGTGCTTAGGTTGTTGGCAACAGCTGGTAATCACACCAGGCCCAGGCTGGATGCCCAGTGAGCTTTTTACTGGCTGCCTAAATGAGGGTAAGGGGACAGCTGAGGGTTTTGATTAGACAAGTTAATGGATATACAGCACTTAGCTTGGGGACCAGCTCAAAGTGCTCAAAAGATCTGGCTAAAAACAACCACTTCCACCTGGGCAGGTCACAACCCTCTTGCCTACCTAGAGAAAAGCTGTTGTACAGGCCTCTAAGTGGCTGAGAATTCATTCAAAGACACAGTTGCTTTTGTTCTCCCTGACATCTTATGGTTTTATTTAAAATATGAGATGATCCTAAGAAAATAAACTAGGTAAGCGTTTGGAAGGATCCAGGTCTGACAGCCTCTCTATAAAACTTGCTAGACTTGGTTAGTAGCCAGACACAGTCTGTTTTTAGCATGGTTTCTTAGAACACTCATCCCAAAGTGATGTTGAGACCTGTGTGCAAGGATAGGAGCTCTTTGGAAGAAAGGTGTTCTGGAAATGCAAGCTGGTGCTTTTCAAGCCATTACAACTTAGAGCTGTTGTTCAGGCTTTAATCCGATGATTTTAGGAGTCTAAACAGGAATAGAAGCCTCTTCTCTCTCTTCTCCTGTATCCTTTATGTTTTTCTGTCAAAATAATTCTAAAAGAACCATTAAATATAATACTTTTATAAATTTAAAAATTATTTGCATATTTATAAAGTTATATGTATATACTGAAATAATTTTTTTTGAGAGGGTTTTACTATAGGGTGCATGCGCTCATCAGAAAGACAGAGAGAGACAGAGAGACAGAAAGCGAGAAATCACCCCCCAGAGGGGATGGCCACGCCACAATCCCTTCTCCTTTATTCTCCTCTTGGGATCTTGGGCACACACGCCTGTCGTGAGTTTAAGCCACCGGGTCCAGGACTCGAACCGTGGTCGACTACATGGGAGTTCAACGACATAGCCATTACACTAATTGCTGGTCCTGAAATAACTTTGAAACCCTATTATATAGTAGGCACTGGGGAACTGATGGTGAGCAAAATTGATGGTGAGCAAAAACCTTGGAATCTACAGTCTAGTAGGGAAGATAGACATTAAATAAGTAATGACACAAATGTAAAAATACAATTTACAGAGAGGTAAATTCTGCCAAGAAGGAGATAAATGATACAATAAGAACTTTTTTTCCCTCAAAGACTATTATTTTAAAAGAGCAATTTAAAATTCACAGTAAACTTTTTTTTTTTTTTTGGTGAGGTTTTAACTGTCTTT